GGTACAGATTTAAATCTAACGCAACAATGATTAGAACAAGAATAAAAAGTCAAAAATTAGGGGGAACATTTTTTATCAAATGTGTCTCTCTCCATGCTGTGAATTCATTATCCAAACCATTTTTTTCCAGCTCATTCTTTCAAGGGTCATGTGAAAAAAGTTCCTTCAGGGCATTTTTTGTGTGTCCAACAGAAGTGTGAGGATTCTTGGAAGCAGAGACCATGTAACATGGCAATTCTCTTGTCTTAATCTGCTGCGATCCCAGCCAGGTTGGAGTCCAAATGTTTTGGGAAAACACAACCGAGCCATTCATGTAACGTAAGCCTGTTTTACTCTACAACTCCCAGAACACATGTAGAACAGCCTGTTTGGAGATGCAGATCTAATTAAAAGCATAAGCCGAGAGAAAATAAGATCAGGACATCCTGAAAAAAGACAAAAGCTTGATCATTTTCCCAAATGTGTTGTCATTTCTGCTCTTCTTTTCAAAGATAACAGACCCTCGCCTGGAACATTCACACTCGGCCTCGCTGCATGTTTACTCTAGGTTTAGTGCCTGCTAAGATACTATTGATGGCCAGTCAAGTAATGTCGCCCGACTGTTTTTCGTCTGGCCTCAGTGTGGCACTTAGGGGATGAAAGCCTGGTCCTCAGAGTCCCACCAATCCGGCAACAAGTGCAGCCCCCTCTGTGCACACGGCCGTGAGAGGAGGCAGCTCAGCCTGACTGACGTGAGTGGTGTGGACAGATACAATTTCAGCCCAGCAACGCAGCCAGGATCTGGCAAACCTCCGCTGTTTACCTAAAGGCTGAAGGCAGCCGAGCCCAGACCTCACCTGCTGGCCTCACTGGTTGCCATGAAGAAATCACATAATCCTACTAAGTCCATGCAGGCTCAGAGCTGCTTCTGCAAAAAGCTCCACATTCATCCCTCCACTTAAATCACAGATACAGAGACAATTATCTTTTTTTTTATTTCAGTGTGAGTATAACTATATAACTCTTATACACAGTTTTTATTTATTGCCTTTAATTATTTAGCTCCAGACTTCCTGTCCATTTCTGACTGTTTATCTTTTAATTTTCAAAATATTTTAAATCTCAGAAATCATGCAATGCCTGATTTTATAACATGAACAAAAACATCAATAATGTAAAGAGGTTCATCACAAAATTAAACATTTTTTTCCCTTTTTTTCATTTCAAATGAAATTTTTTTACAGATAAATTCTGTCACATTACTAAATCACTTATCAACTTCAAAAATATATATCAGATTTCCTTTAAGTCCAGAATTTAAATTGCAAAATTGACCTTTAGCAGGTCCACACATGAGGTTTGGATTTCTGCAGCTCCTCCAAAGGGGCTCTCTAGCCTGTGCTTCTTATTAATGTTCCCTTTGCTCAGTCTGTCAGTCTCAGTGGATAACCATGTCTTGGCAGGTTTGCACCTGTCAAGCTCTATCCTGCAGAACAGGATTGTTTTATGGAACATGATTCATAAAGCCAAACCTGCTTCTGTAAAGACCTGTAAAGCCAAGAAATGTTCCTTTATCATCCAATATCCTGCGCCATCTAACCACCCCCAGCCACTGCAACACAGTTGTAATTTCATCTTTTCTTAAAACTTATGCGTGAATTGAATAAAAAACTTTACAACCTTCCGCTATAGTAAGAAACCTCCTACAAAAATGGAATCAACTGATAACTAAAAAGCTGTTTAGATCATTTTTTCCTCCATTTATTGTTGCAGATATGATGCTGTGTGTGAGTGAGGTAGCAAAACAACAGCTCATCCTTCAGGGATTTAGGCTGGACGGTCCGTTTGGCTTCACAATGGCCTGATTCACAGATGATGTCCTGAGCTACGGCGATGCAGGACGATGAGGTCACTTTATGGATGGATGTCAGCCGTGAATGGTGAGAACGAGCTACACACAACCCACTCATGGAGATACAGGACCACCGCAGAATTCACACGCCTCATCCTCCTTCAGCTCCTAAAGTTTAGGCGCTGTGATAATTTATAGCTCTCACAGAGTAAGAACAGGGTTCTGTATGAATGTGTGTGCGTGGAAGAGAGAAGGTCGCTGACCTCTGTGACTCGGCTAAAATCCCCACGGGCCCAGTTCAGGATTGGAATGGACCCCACAGCGCAATGGGAAGATGGCTCCAACATAATGAGCACAAAGGCCAATTGTGAAGCTATTCTCTGCAGGGCAGAAAGCAGCGGGCCCCGGAGACAGAATGTTTTGTCGGCTGAAACGGAGAGGGAAGCCTGTTGCTTTAACTAGTCTCTGATAACATTCAGCAGGAGTGACTCAACAGCACTTTGTCTCCAAGGACACAAAGTGTTGGATTTACATCCACTGTATTTATCAGCACTTGGAGACTCAGATGCTGATAAGTGACTCTCAGGGGCCAAATTAGAACTAAATTGTTTATCTTTCCTGCAGAGATGAAATATGCACAATTTTTAGCTAATATTTTTAATGACTTTTCTGATAAATGCTGCTTTTTTTATATGAAAAGAGATTTTGATGTAATATCTTTCTTACATAGTATAAATGTCAAGTATAAAAGTGATTTTTTTTTTTAAGCAATTAAAGGTTTCCCAAATCAAATAAGTAAAAAAAAAAACCCTACAGAAAACAACCCTCAACTGTTTCAGAGGGTCTTGATATTTAATTAAAAACACACAAGCATCTACGAAAAATATTTTGGTGCCGAATATTAACGCATGTTTTTGTCCTGAAATTCTGAATTCAAGCTTTTTTTTTTTATTTTACAATAAAATCACAAAAATTTACATTCGAATATCTTGATTAAAACATTTACAATTTGCAATTCAGTTTTAATTTTTTGAAGATATGTTTCATTAGTTTTTTTTTTATATATTTCTTTCTTACCCATTCAAATCTAATATTAGTATAAAGCAAAACAGGTTCAGTTTTTTGGTGATGAGTTTATGTATTATGGGAAAAAATCTTCAGATAGAGCCCGTCCAGGTATAATTATGAATAATCTATAATTGATTATATTCTCCTTGGTACCATTTTACCATCCGCACAATTTGAAATAAAAAAAGAAATGAAGCAGGAAGTAGTCCCATAAAAAAGAATGCTGAAATATTTCATAGCAGCTACTTTTTGATCAGAAAGTGACTGCTTGATGTCACTCATCAGGACGTTAAGAAAGGAGAACAACAAAGTGGGTGACACGTACAAGGAGGCAAACAAATGCCAACAACGCCTCTGTTGCCAGATAACGCCCATTTCTAAAACGTATTGCCTCTTCTCTGAGACCTATTCAAAGTTTCCGTCTTCTACAGAGTCGCCACTCCCCCCTGCCCAAAGATTCTCTGTCTGTATTATTAGGTGGAGGGGATTAAATAAAACGTTGCAACAAAATAAGACTTTCTTTTGCTTCCGAAAGACTAGAAATGGTGCTTTGTGTCCATCCGCTGTTGTGGCACATTTGACAGGTCTGGTTCGGCTGCTTTTGTGCAGCCAGAAGAAAGGGGATTGACCGAAAACACAAACTGAGCCACTGTGCTGTTGTGAAGCTGGCTATTAGTCAACGTGATGGCCTTTGCAGATGCTAATGGCTTATGGTGCGTCCAGGCCGGCCTCCCTCCACACAGAGCGTGGCTATCTGATGGCACAATGGCCCTTTGCTAGCGGTTGACTTTTTCCCCTTTCTTTATATTGCTGCCACGAAAGTCATTAGGCTGTTTCTGAGAAAACAGGGAGATATAATAGCTGCAGAGAATGAAACAATTTGATATGAGGCAGCTATCTTCACCGCTTAAACCCCCAGGTGATGAAGATGAGGCTGGTGAAGCCCTTGTGAGTGATGTGGAGCTGCGGTAACAGCCAGGCTCTTGTGAAAGGAGAGATGATGCCCGGGAGTGTAGGACCTCTGGACTCCCGACTTATTAATCAGTCAGACCCTCAGCTGCATGCCTCAGGATACAGCATGCCTTCAGCCTGCTCAGGGACCAGATAACCCCCTGCAGACTGCTATACTGGGAGGGTTTTACCCAGACCTGGAGCAGAAGTCTTAGCTCATCAGCACACAGGTCACTGCATCCTGCAGCAGCAACTTGAAGTTAACAAAATCCTAAACAGACATGAAGAGCTCAGGACTCCAGGGCTGAGAGCAAAACAAAACATCAAAGAGTTTCTGAGGGGGATTTTACTGAATGTCCAATCAGCATTAAGTTTAGAATCTAGATCTTGTAGATTATGTCTTGCTTTTTGAGTATTTTTCCGACCAATAGAAATGAATCACATTTTGTGAAACTTCAAGCCCAAGTGATGTCTTTCAATTTGCCACTGCTACACTGCTGTTTTTTTTTTTTTTACATCCACCAAGGAGGATGCTAAATTCCCCATTTTTCCTCAATAAGCTCATCAAAAGATCTATGTGGCCAGTGACGGCCATAAATGTATGGATTCTATCTTCATCAGCACAGACAAAGCATCTGCATAACATAGCATGAGATAGCCTCTATTAACTATCTACACTATCATGATAGAATATAACCAAAATGTTTTTCAATGCTTGTTTGACACACACCCAGGATCGTAAGTGAAAGGATTTTTGTCATCGACTGGTTAAAAATGGAAATAATCATTCAAGTATTACCAAGTTATTATACCACTAAACGGTTGATCTAAGATATAGATGATGTTTTTTAGCAGAGTACCAACTTAGATGATGAACATAATTTGTTACAGGAAAATGAAAGTTATCTTTTTGTATAAAACAAATGTGAAACGGCTGTATGGATGACCGGTGGCTGCAAAACATGGTCAAAATGTAAAAAAAAAAAAACCATAAGCAATAGAAATACTTACAAAAGCTTGTAAAATGTAATAAAAGCAAATTTTGAACAAATAAAATACATAGAATTGAGCTTAGCAGCAACTGTTTAACCCGACGAGAATCAGCATCTACTACCTCTATAGCGTGACGATAAAGAACGAAAGGAAAACATAAAAAAATGAAATTTATTTATTGACGTCAATTTTATTTGCATTTTAACACAAATTAAATAAATAAAGCACATCTGTGGAGGGCGGGGTTACACCATGCACACGTTACTTTCTACAACATAAAACATGTTTCAGGACCAGCTTCTCCGTAGCACAGCAGACTCCTTCTGGATCCTCATGCTGTACAAGATGGTAGCTCCCCAACTCTTCCTCTGTTCAGGACGCACACTTTGATTATTTATGTACATACACCCATATTCACATCTTAGTGAATGATTGAAGTAATGCGGGTAATGAACTCAATTCTCCATACAGGCTAAAGACGATGAGGGGAAGAATCATAATGTCTTTAAAATGAAAAAAAAAAACTGCAGAATTTTGGGTTTTAGGAACAGTGAGCCCTGAACAGTGATTGGAAGGAAGGAAAGAAATCAGGGAAATGGAGAAAAGTTGCTTCTGTCTCAACTGTGTAGATAAAGTGAGCTTTCATATTTTTACCATATTGAAAACCAGAGAGCATTTTGCTTCTGTATTTCATACATCTACACTGACAGAACATTGGTGACAAAAGGTGAGAAATCTGGTGCAATCTGAAGAAAAAAAAACCCCAACCTGTGTCACTGATCCCACAGAATGTCCGATCAGCATTTCTGACAGAGGCCCAGAAGCAGACAGCCAATTATATAGTCAGAAAATTAAATCAAATGTACCTGCAGAGGTGCTGATTGAAAATGTTTAAAATCTTCATTACCAAAAAAGGAAACACAAAAAGACAGATTTTACTCTTTAAAAAGACATGTTATAATTTGTCAATCAATTTTGCGTTCCAATAACTTATCCGTAGAGAGACAGAGAGAGATAAATGAAGTGACAGAAGACAACAACAGCTGTATTAAACTGCATGTTGAGGGTCAGAGAGCTGTAAATTCAACCGGGCTTCAGTTTGAACCAGGTGCTGTGGATTTTAAGTGCAACTACTTCCTATTGATGAAGATAACTGAATAATATTCTAGGGCCACCAGCTGAGACAGGAGAATATTAAAGAGGGGACATAACATGGCCGCCGTCCTCAATTATGGAGGACAGGGGGTGCTGAAATTTGCATTTCTTCAGTCTCAGTGTGTTCGGGTTTTTGTGATCCTCTGAAGTAGAAAAAAAGATCAGGGGAAAATATATGATGGTAAATAACAGGGGATGATGATTCCTTCACTGTTTGCTTCTGTTTATATCAATTTGTCCATCAATGTCCAAGAGTCACTGATGATAAAATGGAGCCAGAAGGGGGGGGATGGCGGTCATTTACAGATGTGTTGTCTTTGTTCAGTGCAATAATCTGCAGACATAGAAGAAAAACAGTTGTCAAATGACAGGTTAAAAAAGTATAAACAAGTAGATACAATATCAGAAAGTCTACATCAATTGGACTGAAGTTTTCTCCTTTAGAGAGAAATACCTGGATCTGTTACTTCTCTTTGTGAAGAGCTTCAATGAAAGCTTCAAGTTTCTCCTGGATTTCACGGACTTTCTCTGCAAAACAAAAAAACACATGACTTAATATTTTATGACTAATAATGTCATTTCAGACTAAAATTAAATCTAAAATATGAAATCTAAAACTTAGAAATATACATCCATTTAAAAACAAGCACCATAATACACATGGGTATTTAGTACATGAAAAAGTCTATAAAATGTATATAAATTCAAATCAAACAGATGAAACTAGGAGGAACAATCTAAGTCTGGGCTCTCAAAAAGAAAAGTATACCCACATTGCTGAGCAGTTGTTAAAATAAAAATTTTAAGTTCTTAGTTGTTTGTTTTATGGAAAGAATTGTTTGAAATGTTAAAATTCCTAAATAAATGATTTATGAAAAATAATTATATATGTAAATAAATAAAAAACCCTCATACATAAAATTTGTAAAAATAAATCAAATTAAAAACAAAACACTGATAACTAATAAAATTCATAATAGATTAGGATTTTTGTAGTTTTTATATACCAATAACTAATAAACATAATCAACAGTTATATCTATAGGAATATATAATATTTATTGATAAAGAATTTTATTATATATAATAAATACCTAAAGAAGGTATAAATATATATTTGTTAATGGCTGATTTGAAATATTAGGTTAGCCTATAAGAAAAAGGAAAATATCAAAGCTTAGATTTGTTGCACATTAACTTATCCACTTTTCAAGGCTGATTAGGACTGTTTATTTCTGGATGTTAAGTTTCAGGAGATGAAAGAGACACAAAAGTACAATTACACAGAAATAACTACCATTGTTTTTCTTAATATAAAACAGTTTTCTTCCCTTTGACATTCATCTGTAGATGCAGAAATCCCCGAACAAAAAGAGCAAATAGCTCTCGCTGACAGTGACAGCCAAACCTCAAGGCAGACCTCCTTTACACATTTGATGAAGAAGAATTATGAACCCACATCAAAGCTCACACACTCCCCTTTTTATAGCATGTACCTCCTGGGCACATCGCTAATGGACAGAAGGAGACACCTTAACATCAGCTGAAAGGGGGGGGGGGGGGGGGGGGGGTCTACTGGAGAAAAACAAAAACTTTTCTCATATGAATACCATTGTCCAAAGAGTATAATACGTGCAATCCTTTCACCAAACATGTAGTGTCGCGAGATGAGCGCGCCGTCTGAAGCAGTCTTAATCACTGATTAAACAGTGGCTGAAGGAAGTCTGTGGGCCAAAGATGGAAGAAGGAAAAAAAGGAAGCCTCAGCTCGCAATGCCAGCTGCACCTCCAGGGCCTGGCTGGCTCTCTAGTTTCCCCGTCACCCGCGCTAATCTGTCTGTATCCCATCCAAGCACAAACTCAAACACCGGCTTTGAAGAACAAACCAGCACTACTCAATCTATATCAATCAGCAGCACGAGATGCCCAGGGGAGCCACTGTCGATTGTTTTCCTGCTGAGTAACTTTTCAGGAGCAGAATTCATAACGGATTGGACCTTAGAGTACGAGAGCCCAAAGCATCAATTTAATGTCAGCGCGAAGGTGATAACCCTTTGTTCTTTAGAGAGAAACTAAATACCATACTAGAGGAGGAGCTGCTTTGATAGGTGTACTGCTGCTAAGGTATTCTTTTCTTGATGGATGAATGTTTGGAGGCAAAACCTCCCTGCCTCATACCCTCTAAACAAAATCCAAAATAAAAAAAATGGCAGAAGACAGCAAGGCGTGAGGAAAAAAAACAACAGGCAGGGAGAGCTGGTCCAAACTGCGTCAGAAAGATTAGCTGTGATCTCCTGTCTTACAAAGCTGAGATAAATGTACAGTCATACCACTTCCCCCTCCTTTCAACCTCCAACATGTTCCCTACTGGCAGGTGGCAGGGAAAAAAATTCCCAGCCTTTGATACTCCGTTAATACACTAAGACAAAATGGCAGGGTGTAAGGAGGGGATTACTACACCTTATGGAGACATTAAAGGGGCCTGTTGAGGGGGAACGCCAACAAGTCACAGCAGCAGGTGTGCAGCTGAATGAAACATAAACCTGTGGTACGCCACTGCAGCAGGCAGCCCACCGCAGGGCCCGGCTCAATGCTGCTAACAGCTTAGGCAGCGTGCCCTGACCACACGGCAACATGACTCGATCCAGGACCAATAAGAACAGGATTACAGACATCTGCCTGACCTGGGGAGAAGAGCCGCGAGGTACGAAAACGCTGGGAGGTTTGGCTGGTGCGAGGGAAGGAGGGTACCGACTGTCAAATCACGAAAACATGGGAAATCCCCTGGCTCAGGCTTCAAAGTTTTATTTATTGGGTTTAGTTGAGATGGCTCTACTTGGATTTCAAATAAAGAGAGCTCAAAACTGGGTTGGCCATTAAAGATCCTTTCAATGGAGGGCAAAGGTCTGCAGGTCAGTGGAGAGACTGGGGTAAAAACAAGAAAAAAGTAGTCTGCAAAGAGTGAAATAAGGGGACCTTGGAGAGGACTTAAAATGGGCTGCTGATTAAACCCTTCACTGTCATGTGCAAGACAAAAAAAATCCCAATAAATAATAGACCACAATTGTTCCTTCACTTTTTAGCTTTAAAGAAAAAGCTAAAAGCTGGTTTATCTTAAATGATGCAGAGAGAAGTCAGAGGGTGACCACAATATGCCAACTGTTTTAACAATTAATAACTACATTTACATGGACACAAATAATAGGAGTGAAGGCCTGATGAGATCAAAAATGTGTGAACATTTAGTTCTAACCTAATCTGGTTCGGTATGATTGGAAATCCCCCCCCCCCTCCATTCCGATTGGTTTCCATGTACATACACATATGGAGTAAAGAAATCTCCTCTATACATGTGTTCTCTTACGTTTTTGTTCTTTACTTGCCATTCAGCGGCTCCTAATTCTCAGCGGTAGAGGAGGTGGCTTTAAATATAATGTACAAAAGAACATGCCATCCTGCCCTCTATCCCTGTAGCAAAGGAGCAATAGCATAAGGTACCGCTGAGCCCTTAACTAAAATGACTACAGAAAACAAAAGTATGGATACAAAGATGAAACAAACACCCATAATAGGAAAAAAAACAACAACAACACAACAGCAGACACAGCTGAAGAACCAAAGAAAAAGAAACATGCATGGCGGGCATGAAGAGTAGCTAAAGTTGATGATGAGTGGACAAGTATGGGTTTGTTATAAAAAAGGCAGCTTCTTCTTCTACTACTACTACTACAGTGAAAACTAGACAGTTCTGCTCAAATGTTTTAATCTGATTGAATGCCTGGTACATGTACAGGTGCTGGTCATAAAATTAGAATATCATGAAAAAGTAGATTGATTTCAGTAATTCCATTTAAAAAGTGAAACTTGTATATTATATTCATACATTACATACAAACTCATATATTTCAGATGTTTATTTTGTTTAATTTTGATGATTACAAATGACAACAAATGAAAATCTCAAATTCATCATATCAGAAAATTAGAATATTACTGAAGACCAATAAAAACAAAGGATTTATAGAAATGTTGGCCAACTGAAAAGTATGAACATGAAAAGTATGAGCATGTACAGCACTCAGTATTTAGTTGGGCCTCCTTTGGCCTGTATTACTGCAGCAATGCGGCGTGGCATGGAGTCGATCAGTCTGTGGCACTGCTCAGGTGTTATGATAGCCCAGGTTGCTCTAATAGTGGCTTTTAGCTCTTCTGAATTGTTGGGTCTGGTGTATTGCATCTTCTTCTTCACAATACCCCATAGATTTTCTATGGGGTTAAGGTCAGGAGAGTTTGCTGGCCAATTAAGAACAGGGATACCATGGTCCTTCAACCAGGTACTGGTAGCTTTGGCACTGTGTGCAGGTGCCAAGTCCTGTTGGAAAATGAAATCTGCATCTCCAAAAAGTTGGTCAGCTGCAGGAAGCATGAAGTGCTCTAAAACTTCCTGGTATGTGGCTGCGTTGACCCTGGACCTCAGAAAACACAATGGACCAACACCAGCAGATGACATGGCACCCCAAACCATCACTGACTGTGGAAACTTTACACTGGACTTCAAGCAACGTGGATGAAGTGCCTCTCTTCTTTTCCTCCAGACGCTGGGACCTTGATTTCCAAAGGAAATGCAAAATTTACTTTCATCAGAGAACATGACTTTGGACCACTCACCAGCAGTCCAGTCCTGTTTCTCTTTAGCCCAGGCAAGACGCTTCTGACGCTGTCTGTGGTTCAAGAGTGGCTTGACACAAGGAATGCGACAGCAGAAACCCATGTCTTTCATACGTCTGTGTGTGGTGGTTCTTGAAGCACTCACTCCAGCTGCAGTCCACTCTTTGTGAATCTCCCCCACATTTTTGAATGGGTTTTGTTTCACAATCCTCTCCAGGGTGCGGTTATCTCTCTTGCTTGTACACTTTTTTCGACCACATCTTTTCCTTCCCTTCGCCTCTCTATTAATGTGCTTGGACACTGAGCTCTGTGAACAGCCAGCCTCTTTAGCGATGACCTTTTGTGTCTTGCCCTCCTTGTGCAAGGTGTCGATGGTCGTCTTTTGGAAAACTGTCAAGTCAGCAGTCTTCCCCATGATTGTGTAGCCTATAGAACTAGACTGAAAGACCATTTAAAGGCTTTTGCAGGTGGTTTGACTTAATTAGCTGATTAGAGTGTGGCACCAGGGGCCATCAATTTTGAACCTTTTCACAATATTCAAATTTTCTGATATGATGAATTTGAGATTTTCATTTGTTGTCATTTGTAATCATTAAAATTAAACAAAATAAACATCTGAAATATATGAGTTTGTATGTAATGTATGAATATAATATACAAGTTTCACTTTTTAAATGGAATTACTGAAATCAATCTACTTTTTCATGATATTCTAATTTTATGACCAGCACCTGTATACATGATCGGATCATTTTATTTAGTGTTCATGTAACCAGATCAACCAAGATTTAAATCGGATCGAAGAAATTTTCCACATGTTAACGTCTGTAGATATTTTACCCTGTGGTCATAAATGGGTAG